GTCCTAAATTTTACTAAATGTCCTTTTGACTAAAATAATGTACTACATTTTACTAAAGTGGCCAAATTTTTTTAAAAAATAGGGTTAAAAAGATCAGCTCGACCGTGCAAATAAGGGACAAAACAGCGGAGCATATCTGTATACTTCAACTACGGGAGGGCTCCCTCCCCTTTAGCCGGGATAAATTGCGACCACTCTTCTAGGATATACAGTCTGACCCTAGATAATATGTCATAAACCATCTATAGATATATATATTCTCTCATACATTTGAAGACATTCAGTGAATCCTGTAATCTATTTTCGTGATACGAGATGGGACCATTCCCCTATTTTTAAATGGAATTCGAATATGCTTTTAAAGTCATCAAATATTTGTTGCGCAATGCGTGTACACGCGTGCGTTGACATTTCAGAAATTGCGGTCATTGTGCTCATGCAATTTGCATTATGTAACTAAAGCAGGTGGACCGTATACGCAAGTATGGGTGAGATTAGCGCCAAAAATTCAAATTTTATCAATTTGTCAGACTCGAAATGTATTGTGTTTATACTCTTGGTCATGTGACCATTGCTCTCGTCATGATACAACTGTATTTCTGTAACTCCACACCTGGTCATTTGTCTCTATGATTCAATCGCTGCAATCGTTTTCACATGCTTATTAGTAATAACCACAGTTTCGGCCCAAGCCTGACAAGGTCGCGTGAGTTGCGCTCTCCGAGGTGCTCTAAACCACAGTTCCTCAACGGTGTCTAAACGGGGTCTAAACCCAACACCGTGACACGCCTGACAGAACGATGTAGTTGTTCACTTCCCCCCGCCGATGTAGGGCGCCACTCATGCCTACATGTCAAGCTATTTCGATTCGTGCGCACGTCACGGTAGATTGGTAATTCGCACACTAGTGTCTGGCATTTTTGCAATTGACCAGATTTGGAATTTTGGAGTTGAACAAGAGTTTTTTGCCAAACGATTGAAAAAGTTGGCTAAGTTGGGTTTGAACCATCACTTTTGTATTGGTAGTCAGTAACTGTGCTGACAGTTGAACTTGTTATACTTCAGATAGGGAAATCGATATCTACTTCATTATTTTCGTCTCATATGAAGTCATTTGGGGATTACTAATATTTCGTGCACGAAGTCTTTGCGGTAGCTGTAAGACTTGTTTACAAAATTTGTAAGCTAAACACAGAGAGAAAACAAATGCATACAAAATGTTGCAGGAAAAAGATATTGGTACATTCAAGAAAAATAAAAGTGTACAAATACCCTGTGTATGTATGTCTGTTCCATCAAAAACAGCTGGTCAGATTCGTATGTAACTTGGTACAGTTTTGTAGAAAATTGTTGCATGCCTTAATTAACCTAATTTTCGTAGTAAATATCTCGGGTACTTATCTTATTTTAATGAAGACAGCGACCCGACTAGTTTTGGGTTCAACTACATTCATAAAAAAAATCTAATTTGCATGATAATATACTTTTCGGCTTCATTCATTACATTCTAATGAAACTTGGTATACATGTGCCTGGGCAGTGCTAAAGACATGATTAATTTTGAACATATCGATTGCCTAATTTTCATGATTAATTTCGAGCATACTAATTGCCTAATTTGCATTTCATTGCAATTTGGTAGATAAATGTTTTGGGTAATCCACATATATGATTCGTTTAATGTTGAAAAACCTGCAAATCGATTATCTAATTATTATTAGCTAATTTCTGATATCTCAAAAAATCTGATTTTAAATTGAACTTGTGGTAGAGCACACAGCGCTCTGGAATAAATTAGACTGCGAACCACAAGTGTACAATCAAATTTATTTTCCGTGAGTATTATAATAATACTTCAATAATTTGGATCCACGGGGGGGTACTAACATTGAAGTGTTATATGTATATGTGACGCCAAAAGGGGTCCCAAATTCACCACTTTTGTCTGAAAAGTCCATCCCCGGGAGTCCACCTGCTTTTCCCTTGGTACCATTTATGCTTACTGTCTGGAAAGGGGTTTCAAATATCCACAGTTTGTCTGAAAAGGGGTAGGCAATTTGAGTTTATTTCTGTCTGATAAGGGGTAGAGGTTTCAAACAACTAGCTACACACCCCTGCCAGAATTTTTTGCAAGTACCCCCTCCCCGGGTGTGGATCCCATTATTTTCATGTTGTGCATCTCAAAAAGAAAACACGTCATTTGGTGTGAAATTAGCACTGATTTTGACCCGTACTCCACATCCACACTGGCTGGTGCTTACTCTCTGCATGTTACAGCCGCGCCTGACACTTTTAAACGCCCACATCTTCTATTTGTTTACTTTGATTTGACAAAGTACTTACCACGCTGTTCATTCAGTGTTATTTACTTGCCTTATTATTTTTCTATCGTCATATTCAGGCTACACAAAGGTATATACACAGACTAAGATTTAAGTTAGAAGCCTACTCATGATTTCAAATGTCCAGAATTTATTCATTTCGCAATAACTGTACTTACGGACGATATAAGGAGTATACAGGACTTTAAAAAGTTGGGGGCCCCAGCTTAATTGTCGAAAAAAAAAGTAGCAAAAAAATGCAATTTTTCTTTGTTTTAAGGAATTATTAAAATATTAAGACATGTTTCTCAAAATACGTCACTTTAACACACAACAAAATGCTTTTTCATGGTTCCATAAAATATTTGCTTCATGTTTTTACATAATAAACCAATGAACATTGTCATGCGAGTTATGACAAACTTTCTCAAAAATTATGAGTAGAATCCTACCTACCTTAAGCTAATCTTATATGTGTGCATATCGGCCATACTCCATTGCGTTCACACATAGGAGGGAACAAGAAGTAACACGGGATAAAAAACACCTAAACCTGTAGTTATTTTAACTATGGTTACTCAATAACATGTTAGTTCCATGGTTATAAAACAATAACCATGCACATTCAGGCAGTGTAGATTGCAGAGTAAACGGAATTCGAAGTAGTACAGAGTCCCATCGTTTGTCTGTTTTCGGAAATAATGTCTCTGGATGTGCTCGTGTTGATTGACATCTAGAAAAATGGCATACGGAGATGAATAGTTGTGAATTTAATAGTAAAACTTCCAAATGAACATTGATACAGTGATATTAATGGCGCTTTCGCGCACACTTCGTTAACCCACGGTTACATCCCGTGCTATATAAGGGCCTAGATCGGGGTCAGATTTAGCCTGTGCTTGCCTTTTCTTAGGCTGTGCTAACGTATGCGCACATTTGCTTAGCACGGGCTAACGTTTTTTACCTCTTAGCCCGTACTAAGGAGCTTTCCGCGAACGCAACATAGGTCAGCAGATACAACAATTCGGGTGGGGAGGGGGGGGGGGTGCATGACACGATTAGTCGAAATAATTAATATTCATGAGCAATGAAAAACTCGTCTTTTCAGTAAAATTGTGCCAACATGCTTTCCGATAACATACATGATAGTTTTAAATTAACTGATTCTATTGTTACGAGCTGAAAAAATAATCGAAAAACTGATGTAAAGGTCTTTTTTGAGACACGTTTTTGATCACACTCCAGCAAACAGTTTTTCTTTATCCTGATCATAGCAAATTACGAAATTCATAGAGAATACAGAAGTACGTTTATATTTCACTTTAGTAATATTGCTCGAAATTGCTCAAGTTAACTAATTAGTATGCATTTCGAGAGACCACAGTGTGTGTGCATGCGCAGTTTGAAATGGAACAATTTTGAAGGCAATAAAGTCACGCGTAGAACTCGGGCTCCAGCAAGATATTGTGGCGTCAACTTTGTGAAACTGGCTGTCGGTTGAATTGTATTGCAATAGACATAATTTTAGAACCGGCATTTTTCTATGAAATGTTTCCAAGTTTTATTGAGGATTATTCTGTAAGGAAATTGCTGACATTATTTCATCTGTTCGTAAAAGGGACGTTGTTGTTGTGACGATGGGCTACGGACGATTGACTTCGAAACGTTCCATTCAGATCGAACGGCGCCCACTCGTTGCCAATCCGGGCTTCTACCGCGCGCTCCTCGTGACAGGCTTAGAACTGGCGTATTCCATCAATGGAACCATGGCAGCTTGATGGACGAGAAGCGCATAGTAACCAGACATATTTTGACGACCATTTTTAGTGCACGAATTCGGAATCGTTTCTTGGCATTGCATTTGTATGGTGTTGGTAAGGATATTTAATTGTCATTGTGTAAAGGACCGCTGATGTGTTCCCGAGAAGTTGGTAAGTTACACGTAATTCCGTGTTGACACCACAGTTTGTGATTCTGATAAAGAAATCAGACAGTGGCATACATTCATATCGTCCACATCATTAGATAAGTCAATTTACTAGTATTTCCGGTGTCATTTTGTTTTCGCGATCACGCCTCTAGCGACGAATCAATGATATTTTTTCCCGATAATGCCACAAACTTAGAGGGCGAAGTCGTATATGAGCCACGCTGAAAAGAACGTTCCGTAACGAGATGGTGAAATCATAGGAAAGGCACATTACCAGTACTCGTAGTTTATTTTATTGTATATAAATAACATGATATTTATCCAACTTTAAGTATCGGCGAGTTCCGAGTCTTCCAATTACATTCAGCTTCACTAGTGGACGCGACATTACATATTCTTGATATGAGCGAAAGTTTTTATCAAATAAATGAACAACAGGGGGTACCTGAACTTGTTTCTATGGAGACAATGACCTCCAAATACTCTGGCGGCCATTTTGAATTGAAAAAACTATCAAAATCAATCAACTGGGGTTCCTAACTTAAAAAGTAGCTCGGTTACGCCAAGATTTTAATTTTAAACTTGAAATAACAGTAGAAAACAAATCACAGAAAATGCTTTTGTCAAAAGTGTGTTAGTCGCGTTCATCAATATAACATTGTTTTACATTCACAAATCGGTCATTATGTTCTTGTACCTGACAGATTCACGGACTATAGACGTGTACTAACATATAACAGACACAGACAATGAAGATAAAGACGGCGCTATGTATATCCATCGTTCTCATTGGAATTACATTGGTACTGGATGTTGCTAATGTTATGAAAATACGTATTGCTTATGTGAAAGGAAATGACGTCCGCTTCTGGTACGTACGTTAACTTATGGGAAGGAGGGGGGGGGGCTGTTTCATAGGTTCAAGTTGAAAGCGGTGGCGTTTTGTCATGATCACCAATATAGTGGCACATTTGTATTGTTGTCGGTAGTGACCTCACATTGGGTTTCAGTTTATAGATACAATTTTAAGGGTTCAGTATTCAATGGTATATCTGTGAAAATATTGACGTGATAGGTACATAGCATTATGTATTTGCTTTTCAACAACCACTTCCTATTTACGTAAATTAACCACGCGTTCGTGAGCTGAATGCTGTGGAGAGAATCTTTTAAATTGTCAATCGTCCTTCGACGTATTTACGTTTTACAAGATGTAAACAACAACAGTGTGGTTTGTATGAAGCGCACATCAAGTTGCGCCCTCTAGCGACGAAACACTTCTGTGAAGTCAGAAATCAAACCGACAATTGTGTTTAATTCTATAGTTTCTCAAAAACATCATTTTCATTAATGGACTACTACAGATCAAAACTATATCGACGTGTTGAACGGCCTTCGTCTCATTCGTCATTTTCGTCATAGAAGCGCTTCATTTGTAGAAGGCGCAACTTTGACATACTAAAACATGTCAATGAATGCTCTGTTTCATTGTAACATAGGAACGACCCTGTCCTTGCTGTGTGTGAACCACAACACCAGATAGTATTCATCAAAACCCACAAGACTGCCAGTACGACCACATGTACCATCATACTGAGATACGGATATATTCGGAACTTATCGTTCGCACTGCCACCAGTTAGTCAGCGTAAATTCCCAACCACCGAACTGTTTACTGCAGATAAAGTCGAAGAATACTCAAACGGCATCACCAACGCAACTTTCAACATCATTCCCTACCACTTCCGGTACAATCGCAAAGAACTAAACAAAGTGGTACCTGGTGCGATGTATATAACAATACTACGGGAGCCGACCGCTCAATTTGAGTCGGCATTTGGTTACTTTGAGGTGGCGAAGCATCTAGATTTGGTAAATATCTCGAATCCTCTTGCAGTGTTCATGACGTCACCAGATCGATACTATTCTGATGAAAGGGAATTTAAAGGGAAGACCCAACTTCGAAACGGCATGGCCTTCGACCTAGGCTTGTCGGATGATATTCACACGAAACATGACAAAGACATTGAAAGGGAAGTCGCTCGCTTGGACCGAGAATTGAACCTCGTCATGTTGGCCGATTACTATGAGGAATCGTTGATACTATTGAAGAAGTTACTTTGTTGGGAATGGCGTGATGTCCTGTACATTCCAAAAGGCCATCGCAGTGAAAGTCTCAAGTACGCCCTCAATCAGACATTGGCGGACAGTATACAGAAATGGAACAGCGTAGACGTTGCTTTGTATAACCATTTTAATAAATCATTTTGGCGAAAAATTGGAGAATATGGGCCAACATTTCAAAGAGATCTGTCGGAATTCAGAAAACGCCAGGCGAAGTTTTACGATGAATGCGTTGACTCTGTGATATCTTACAAAGACCGGCGAGAAGACCGTCTAACTTTGAAACAAGGGGCGTCTCATTATTGCGAACTGTCTTACTTTAGAGTCCCCGCGTACAATAAGATGATTCGTTTGAAGAAGTATTCTGAAGCAAATAATCCGAGTTAAAAAAACTCACACTGACAAGGTGATACAGGCTGGTCGTGTACATAGTTTCAAGGAACAAACCAACCCGGAATGAGTGTATTTGAGAACAAAGACCACCACAAATGTTTCCCAAATCGCTGAAAAACATTCGAAAACATTCAATGTCTTGTGAAAGGTACGTATCATTGGCTTAGCCCATCTTTACCAGCTGGCGGGGACCACCAGCACTAAGTCAGACAGCCATTTTGAAACAAGACAACATCACCACTCACCTCAATGTATCAGAGACACTATGTTAAAACACTGTATGTATTGCTTCTATATATGAGTTTACTGTGCGAAGAAAGGAGCCAGAAGTTGAAACGTTTGCTCCAGTCTACCACCGTGGCGTTTAAGTTATGACTTATTAGTATTTCAGTGATTGAGGGCGCTGTTGCATTCGAAATCGAAATCGGCCTCCGTTGTTATCATAACATCTACTGTGAAACATGCCGAAATAGCTACACGTCATTTAATGCATGAATTAACAGTCTTAATTTAGCTAATGTGCCAACAATCTCATTTAATTTTAAAATCGCTACATCTTGATTTAGTGAAATTTACTAAAATAACCAGCTAGCTAAAAGACATATTTTACAGTGTAATCCCCGCCCACACAACTTGAATTGGTATAAAATACATATATTACTCGTAGTTTTAAAATAAAGTCATAATTATAATATAAGCAACTGTTTCACAACAGAAATTCACACGAACTCATAAAAGCTACACGTGACCCATCCGAGGCATGTATAAATGTCAAGTCTATCTCTGGGGGCGCTACTCATGATAGCGAGTACAGAATGCCGTCACGAGATATATCCACACATGAAAAAACGCGCATTAGACGCCATTAATGTACAGGAAAATTGTGTTTCTGATCCGTTGGACTAATCAAAACAAAATAAAAAATACATACACACATTAGCTAAAGGTTATCCATGGGCATTCAACATATCCAATAAAGAAAATAAATCATGTTTATGTTTCGTCCATTTTTTAAAGTTGATCATACTTTTTTATCTGAGCTTTATAACAACAGCATAATATGAAACAGGAGATATTTAAATACTACCTTGTGGTAGTAATCCATTGACATTTTTGTGAACATTAGTCACACCCGCTTGGCAATATTTAAAATTTGAATTAATATATAAGTTGTTTATTGAATGTACTAGGAAAATATAAAGTTTGTGACCATATAAGATTGAAAATTTTAGAATTCATTTACTAGTAATAAATCCGATTTTTGTTTATACTAGATTAGTCTATTATTCACTCTCAATTACTGATCATGCACTACATATTCATTCACAAACAATTTACCCGGTGACATAACTAGTGATTTGAATATTCAATTTCATTGCATATATTATGCATGTAGCAATATATATCCGTAACAATTCAATTTGTGATCTGATAAAACTGAAAAGACCGATTTGCAACCATCTTGCATGGCCATATTACTCAATCTTGGCCTTGAATAACATTTCTCTTAATCATGATTGCAACGGGGCTGTGTCATAAATTAATTAATAGAACATAATGACATTTGGAACTTTTTTTTCATTTATGAGCAACCTTATGAATTTTATGATATTTGGTCTCTATGGCAGATAAGCAATAATGCATATTTTAGATCGTATGTTAAGAAACGTTGATAACTACTACGACAGTATGCACAGTTTAAGTAACGCTAACGTGGTAATGAATCTCATTTATGCAAGATGGTTTCCAGCACTCCTATCATGCATTAGTGAACGGAAGTAGCCCACACCATCCACGACGTCATGTTCTGTTCTCAAATTCTTCATTTTAATAGGTATGATAAATGCCAAGGTCAAGTTTAACTACCGAATTAGTATTTTCTTAATATCTATATGATGTTACAATTGCGTCTTCAGTCGCATTTCCAGCTATAACATACTTTCACTCTGGAGTCAATTCTTGAAATAAAACATTGATTCGTAATCTGTCATATGTGAAATTGTTGTTTTATGTCATTCACACGAGGCCCAACGTGTCTGTAGAATACATGTATACTAGCACTCTATAGACAATTTAGGAAATTCAATCTTGCTGTTTCAGTCGAGAGGGCGCCCCAGGAAAACGGTAAGGATGCGCCTCCACCTGTTCAATCATTTCCAGACAGGCGATTAGTCGAACAATAGAATTCTGTTTTAGAGTCGCATTATTACAATGACGCATTACATCGTACAGTATTGCATGATGGGTAAACAGCATTTGTACCGTAACTGTAAATACAATGCCCAAGTCGTCCGAGAGGATGCTGCAGGCGATTCTTATTAATCATCTCAATGACTAGACTCGTTTATTGAAAACAATTTGCACGAGTAGTCGCATATCTCCCAGTGTCTTGAAGTGCATATTACAGTCTGGTCTGTGATGATGAGATAATGAAGTTAATTCAGTTCACTTTAAACAGCGCCTCCAATTGTTCGAAGTTACAATTTGCGGCCGCTGGTTTTACTTGAAAGGCTTTATAAATTTTCAATAATGTTTTAATAATACATTTTAACACTTTGTGGTACCAACTGAATGCACAGGTACACAGCTAGAGCCTTTGTTCGCACAACAATTCATTTCTACTATTTGCATAAATGTGGGTCACATGACCTGACATATTATCTTGTATTATCACTTGATACCACAGATGTTCTTTCAGTTCAGTAGTGAAAACAAGTATATGTTCTGCGAATCACCAGTTTCATTTTTGCGAACGAAGTCAAGCACAAACTTGCTTTTAAAGTATCAGCTTATGTGGACCCAAAGAACGCACACAGCGCCCTCTGTGTCAAGTAAAGTGTATGAGTGAATGTTATTCATTTTTCTTACTAGTAGATTACTTCGTTTACTCAGTGTGTATAATTTGTATAAATATTATAATTATTAAGCAACGGAAACTGAGCGCTCGAAGTAGCGAAGTCATCAACTATAGTCCAACTCACCACAATTGTCACTTATTCCTGCTGAGTTGAATTCTCAGCGGGTGTCACGTGATAATGGGTATCCAGGGAACCAGGGTCGGTTGTTTTTGTTATCGACCCCAAATGGCCGTTGTATCCACAAATCCCAGTGATGTATGCAATGGTAGAATCGAGGAGCCAACTTTGGACTGGTTTGGGTTCAAACAATTTTATTTGCGACATTTTCAGATTACTGCATGAGCTGAAATTCATAATAAGTCACGTGATACTAACTATTAAAGTGACTGACAGTGGGGATATGGGATTCTAGGGGGTCCTCCTAGTAATAGTATTGGATTTGCCATTTTAGTAAGGTTAGCCTAGCGAGTTGACTGAAGACTCGGAAGGTCGTCCAGGATACATTTTATTTTACGACCGTACAATTATTTTTAACTACCGTTCCACACGCACTCCGCGACTACGCATGCGTTTGTTTGATAGGGGTGTCTGCGCATCTGAGTTGAGCATACTGGACGCCAACGTATATATGTCACATTTCATTGCCCCCGTCATTTCAATCAACACATAATTTATCGCTCGACAATGTTTGACCTCGTCTCAAAATCGATGTTTTGGACCGTGAAAATGCAATTCATTTTAGGCTTTTTTGTTGCCTTAATTTTCTGGTCGCTCCCCTAAATCTGTTCTTGATTGCGAGAGCCTAATTTCGGGCCGACGCAAAAGCCCGTGAAAATCCCTGTAAGTCGCTAAATCGGGCAGAACTCGTCGGTGCGCAAGTTGCGATGATTGAAGAACGAGCAATTTATGGTCGATTTGTCGCGTGCTGCTTCTGATAAGACAACAAACAGTTGTAATTAGAACACCCGAGGAGAGATTGGACCGTCAGAAGCGTCCACTTACTCACTTCACTTGGTAATTCCACCAATTCATTTTCCAATCGCTAGCCTGTTAACTTGTTCACGAAGTCTCGCCTTCGGTGGGGTTGACGCGATGATAACACCGGAGTTCTAGCCAAACTCGTCATTAAAAACGTTTTCCATATCCGTTTAATCGAGTTAATGTTAATGGCTGTCGAATTTGACGTAGTATTACGGATCAATATCTATATCTTCACTGTTATTTCGAGAGAAAAAGAGAGAATTCTACACTTCATCTCGACAAGGGAATATTGATTTACAACGTGTGGTGCAAGTACGGTCACTGGCGTTCGTAGTAACGAGGTCAGATTAGAACCGATGCTATCAGCGTAAGCTACAAATTAAACAATCTCGGAAATTGAGACAATTTTGACGGTAAATTAGAGTTAGGCATCTCCATAGGCTAGTAAAATTAATTAATTACACATCGTACGCTATAATATGCTCTGATTGAATCAAATGAAACAGAAGAATGGTCATATTACTGGAATCGCGAGAGTAATATGTTTTTCGCCCTAATTAAGGTAGGCACTGCACATAAATAGCTGTTTGCGGTGTATAATTCAAGTTCCTAAACTTCCAGCGTCAACTACAACGTCATATATACCTAATTGAACCGCTGAGTGAACGAAACGTGTCTCTTTCATTTTTTTTTCTGAGAACGATATCGTTTGTTAATATAATTGAATTACTGTTATAGTATATACAAATCAATGTGGGATAAAGATATGTTTGTGCTTTGAATGTGTTCTCTGTCAGTGCGTACCGTACGTATTTTAATACAATCTGACGTCTTTCACTGGTTTCTCTTGGGCGTCTTCAAAAAGAGCGGCAGGAAAGTTATTATTTTCCAGTCGATAACAGCTCATGCTTTAAAATGTTGCCTTTGTGAAGAACTAATCGCCAATGATTTTTACTGAGAGAGAACAATTTGTTTCATGATGGACTGTTCAATAACTCCTTAGATACTGAATCATAATAGAACAATTTCAATTCATTCAGAATGCATTTTGTTTCATTCCGGGTGATCACTCCAGCGGTTCTTCACCGGCGGACGTTGTAAGTAGGGTAGTCTTCAATAATTCAAAACATCGACTCGATCCGGCTAAAACAATTA